CACTATTCACATACCTTTGTCATTCATTTACGTGCCGTAATACCAAATTTGGCATACGTGAAGCTAGCGACACGGCCGCGAGCCCATAACAGCGTAGCATGTCATGCTGTTACATGACACGCATCTCATGTTTATAATGTTTGCTCCAGTCACATACCTCCGTCATCCATTCACATACCGTAATACCAAATTCGGTATATGTGACGCTTGCGAAATGTTTACGAGCGCATCATGAGCGCGGCATGTAGAGATGTTACATGACACGCATGTCCTAATTTTCATGTTAGGGGCGGTCGCTTGTGTTCGGCATGCAATCATGTCATACCATACCAGTTTTGCAACATACCATGTGAACAAAAACACCGTAAGAGCTGCAGGACCATGATTTGATTTGTGGGGTTTAACGTCCCAAAACCACCATATGATTATGAGAGACGCCGTAGTGGAGGGCTCCGGAAATTTCGACCACCTGGGGTTCTCTAACGTGCACCCAAATCTGAGCACACGGGCCTACAACATTTCCTCCTCCATCGGAAATACAGCCGCCGCAGCCGGGATTCGATCCCGCGACCTGCAGGTCAGCAGCCGAGTACCTTAGCCACTAGACCACCACGGCGGGGCAGAGCTGCAGGACCATGAAATGCAAATCATGACATTCATGACATACATGTTACGATTTTCATGTTCTGACTAGTCTAACATGTTCTTCATACAGTCATGTCATGCCATACCAAGTTTGGTATCGATACCTTTATTGAAACGGCTAGGAGAGCTACAAGTCGTAGGTGGCTAGATAGATAGACAGATAGATAGATAGATAGATAGATAGATAGATAGATAGATAGATAGATAGATAGATAGATAGATAGATAGATAGATAGACAGATAGACAGATAGATAGATAGATAGATAGATAGATAGATAGATAGATAGATAGATAGATAGATAGATAGATAGATAGATAGATAGATAGATAGATAGATAGATAGATAGATAGATGCGCTTAAAGTCGCCGAAGTTTGCTAAGAAATGCTTCGCATTTAATAAATAATTTTCATCGACAAAAACAACGCACCAGGGCCTATTATTACAACATATGAGCTAAGAAAGCAAGCTCATTTTCATACAGAGACAAAGACGAGACGCGGATATGCATTGATCTCCAGTTTGCTTAATATACACCGCCTCCGATATAGTTTGTGAGTGACATTGCGTTTGCTTCTTCGTAAAATACACACGCTGTTCAGCATAGGTTCACACAATCACTCCTAACAGTTTGTCCTCGTCCACACCAGCGCTAAGAAAGTGTATTTCCATGCAATAACGCGGCAGGTGCGAACCTGTGTTATTTCTCATTGACAGCGAATGCTCTTCTAGGCGACGGCCTGACCAACCGATGTGCGCTGTGCCGCAACTTAGGGTAACTTTATACACAGCGCCTACAGAATGTTTCAAAAAGTTTTTCAAATGAATGATTTTAGGAACACGCACAGGCATGCATCCTCCCTAAGGTGTCAGGTGATCAACAGTGGGCGAGCAAGGCTAGCTTGATCAGTTTTCTAAACTTCCGTGACAACCTTCACAAGAACATTCGCTTGCTGAAATGTTGAATTCAGGCTAAGGCTTTCATTATTTGCCAACTGTTACTCAATTGAAGTGTAGGTCACTACAACTTGTTTACCTCTGTTGAAACATAAGCGAAGTTTCCTTTTGAGCGTCATTCCGTAAATGGTGTTCACCCAGGACGCATGTACACGAGCTTATCACAACAGAAGGTTGAGCTATAGTTGGCCAGAATTCATCGTAAAAAAGATTGGACTTGCGGGCACGAACATATAGATAGTGAGTACAATAACATCTTATGTGCAGGAATGAGTAGCATATCAGCGCAATTTAAACTTTTTTTTTTCTTCGACACAATGTACCTCTAGCCAATGTGTTGTCAAAACAGTTCATTGTGGTCCAGGCGAATCTTACCGACACTGCATCCTTTGAGGACAGTTTTAATGTTCCACACTTATTCCAGCTGAAATCCTCAAACGTGCACGCGTGCCTAGTGAGAAAGGCGACAAGCAGCATGTACAGGAGTGCTGTGTAAATGCCGCCCATCGTAAATACTGTTGCCTGACGCATCGTTCTGCGTACTATACGATGTATGCTAAGCGAGCCATGAGACAAAGTTGCTCGATTTCCGCTGACAATGTTATTAAACAGATGGCTATACCTATTTCTTCAATTGATCATTTCTGACTGACAGTGCTGATTTTTACGCGTATACACTGCCACATTCACTTGACGTGCGTTTTGCCAGTTGATGCCTCTTGGTCAACTGTGAACATAACGGTAATATTTGTAGTAACCCAAGGCTGGCATGCTTGTGAACACCACCCCGCGACAGCCATGAATAAACATCCAGAACCTAAGGTTGCGCGCCGTACCCACGCGAACCCACCAGCCACGCCAGCCGTGCAGCAACCATGGCCGTATCAGGTATCAGCCCAGGGTAATGACTATGATAGTTTTAGCAGTGCATCTGTCGGAAATGGCAGTTCACAATACCACCACTATACCCTCATTTTCGTTGCCCGGTCAAAAGCAGTATCTCTTAAAACATATGCGCTCTAAAAGAAACTAACCAGTTTCTGCAGGGTCATGCAAAGTATCACGAACCTCTGATAAGTTTACGTCGAGGAGCGCGATTCGTAGTTACGATGCAATGGCAGCATCCAACGTACCCTTAGGCTAACACTACGTATACTAGGACGAGAAACAACCGTACCACGCAGTACACCGATGAACACAAACTTGTGGGTACTTCTTGCTTTCATCATTTGCAGCAGGCGACATCACATTGCCGTGTTCGATAAAGTCACTGTGCCATCAAAAACCTCTCAATTCTACTCCGTGACTACAGTTTATATCAGCGAAAAAAAAAAATACCGTGGACAGAAGCTAGTCTGGCGATAAGGTGTTGTGGTATGGTGTCCTTTCCCGAATATTCAACTTATGTTACGAGAGAATGCATTTGCATATGGAGAAAGAAAACAAAACAAGCAACCTATTTTACTCCCTCCTTGGTCCAAATGGTCTAGATTGGTCATCTACAGTGCTCTTAAAAAGCCTCCATCATCAGGCGCGAAAATCTCGGAGGCCATTTGGCGATAGGTGGTGGGGACCATCGTCTATTTATCACTATACCCCGAATTTCACTCGAGTTCATCTGGGTTAGGATGAGCCCGCAACAGATTCACAGTGCTTGCCTCTCACACTACATAGCCCTTAAAGCGGCCCAGCAACACTTCAGCACGGTCAGACATCGCTGCCGAACGGTAGTCGAGGCTACCACGTGAGCCGAACCTTTTGGCGCAGCCAGCGACCTAAAATATGCAATTAATTTTCGAAGTCGCCTGGAAATTGTTCCTTCTCTTTTCTATACCAATGATGCACTATACCGAAATGACCGCGCCGTACACTTCGAATCACGCCCCGCCGCGTTGGTCTAGTCACTAAGCTACTTGGCTGCTGACCCACAGGTCGCGGGATCGAATCCCGGCTGCGGCGGCTGCATTTTTCAAATGCTGTAGGCCCGTGTGCTTAGATTTGGCTGCTCGTTAAAGAACCCCAGGAGGCGAAAATTTCCAAATCCCTCCACTACGGCACCTCTCATAATCGTACAGTGGCTTTGGGACGTTAAACGCCACATATCAATTTCAATTGCAACTACTACAATTTCAATTGCAACATTTGAATTTGCAACTAATAATTTGAAAATCGCGGCTGCACATTTACCATGGCCGCCGCGGGAGGCCGCCACATGCTCGCGCGTGTTAGAGTGCATCTAAGCACGCCCCCCTATGAGAGTGTGGCCATTCATAAAGTTTCATACAAAAATGAAGCTCTAAGGTGGCCATCATTTGAAAGGGTCGACAGCGTAAAGTTTCTCTATAGTCGACACCGCTTCACCTCGAGCGTCCGCCATGTTTCGGCCCACACCGCGCCTCGTTTAAACGTGCGTGCCGCGCCTGCTGCCTTGTCGCCCGTCTCATTCGTCGCGAGTTCAGCAAGATGGCTGGATGCTGCGTGCCACTGCGCACGAACCATTCTAGAAATGGATGGAAGATGTTTTCTTTCCCAAGCGATCATAAGAGATAGCTTTTATTGACAAGAAGAATGAAGAGCGACAAGAGGCAGCCTACGAATGCCTCTCGTGTATGCAGCGCGAGTACTGCAAGCTTTGTTGCTGTTTCCTATCGTCCTTTCTTTGCTACGTCGGGTACTTCTGAGACGATTTTTGAAACAGCGTATATATATTACTAGTACCACAGTAACAGATCAGATTATGACAAGTGCGTGGTTGTTCCGACTTCGTGTTGGTGCCCGCAGCCCAGTGGCCGCACCACCAGTGAGAGTCCTTACGTTCCGCAACACTTCCACGCGCGAAAAGTTTGATTCCTTGCTGTGATGCATGCTTACAAACTAATAACTAGCATTATCTGTGGGTGACTTGCGTTTGTGAAGGCAAGTCCAGCACAATGTGCCTTAACTCGAGAGCAAAAGGCTGCGAAGTCGCGCGCTGAGGAGTGGGATCAGTAATGACAACCGCTGCGGCGGACACCGTATACTTGCCTCCAGTATGAACAGACCGGAAGCGAAGGAGAGCGTCGAGGCAATGAAGCGCGCGTGATTGCAATCGCACTGAAGTAAGCCATGCGTTAAAAGAAAGGAAAGTGCTCAAGGCCATGGTGCACGCGTGACTTAGCTTCTTTCACCCATGCCATCCCTCCCTGCTTACCTTTCAGTATGTTTGTCGGGATGATAGAAGAGAGAAAGGAATTAGAGTGTGTGATAAATACCTCGTTGAGTAAACCCACTCAATATCAAGTTGGAAGATAGTTTCAGGGCCCCTTCAAGTCGAAATTCTCACATATTATCGCAGCGGCTAGCTTTGATGAAGCCTGCGTGTGTCGTCAACTGTACTTCTGAGCGCACAAGCAAAGATCTTCCTCGCCCCCAATAAATGTTGGAATTTATTGTTAAGTTTGGTCGTAGACGTTGACGCCACTGAAAGTGTCCGTTGAATCCAGGATGCAGCTGAGATCGACAGCACAGAAATGTCCCGCTTTGTTCGAGCCTCTCAGATGACTTCCTCGATCTGCGTCAACCTGATCGACTCATCGTACAGCTTCCTCGCCGCTGCCGGGTTCGTGGCCCACGGCACGGCAAACGTGGGTGCACAGTCTTTGAAGTATTTGCCGCTCACATTCTGAACTTCCTCGGAAACGGCGAGGTATACCGTTGTCTCGGCACCTTCTTTCACCGTCTGCAACATGAAAGAGTGAATGGGGGGACATCATTTGCGTTGTCCACCACAAAACCACTCATTACACTCAAAAGCTATCTCCTTGAAAAACACACATGAAAACAAGCTGCTCATCATTAGCTTAAAGGGATCGACAACCAATGTTCATGTCTTATTCAGTGCCACGGAAAGCTTACCCGCCAGAGTGTATTCATGGAATTGTGAAGGGAAAAACAGCGCGAAACATTTAAAACTGAAATTTATCGATTTGTGGTGACTCACGTCATCGACACGAATTGTCTTGCAATTAGTGGGGGAAAAAAGCGACTCAAGCGCTGGTGGCGCGCTATCCAGAATTCAAATAAATCCCAATAATTTAGATTGTCAATAAAACTTGATTCGCGGTCTCCAATACACTTTTTATTACCTATAGTTCACACCAATATTAGAAATATGAGGATTGTTTTTCATCAATTTTATTATGCAATTCTCCATCACGTGATCTAAAAGACAAAATGTATATTCGTGTTTCTAGGGCAAAATTAAAAAAAAAACGTTTATTCAATGTACAACTGATGCATGTTGTTAATTTACTATAGTTGCTTTGTTTGTAAACAATTCTTGAAGTGCTAATCTGAACACTTCAAAATGCCCTTGTTAATTGTAAGTCTCAAAAAATGTTGCTCTTTCGTTGTTTGTATTTTAGCTTTTCTTTTGTTTTTGGATTGGAGGTTCCGCCTGCGGTTTGTAACCTTGGGACCCCTTCCTGCATATTTACATGCTATGTAATACATTTCTGACGCCAATAAAGACCGACCGACCGACCGACCGACCGAAATGGCCCGAAAAAAAAAAAAAAGAAACCTGTCAAACTTCATGTCGATTTTTTTTGTTTTCTTTCTAGTTTAGCGGTCATATCAAGGCCATGCCTGTATATCACCCGTTTAGACGGGTATGAACACAGAAATCTATCATCAGCGGATCACCTTTTGTGCGCTGCGGCTTTATGCGCATGCTCGACATGAGCTCCACCAAGATAGCAACGCCGTTTTTGAGCTTCCACTCCTTCTACCGCTCAAGCAGCACATAATGCAGCGGGAATGGATAGCAGCATACACACTCTAATGTTGAGCAGCCCACCCCCCTCCTCCTGAAATTTGGATGGAGGGGGTGTTTTACCGACGAAACATTAATAAAATGTGCGTTTTCAAGTCCTTCAACAATTTCAAGTGCCCCCCCCCCCCCCCCCCCCACTCCAACCGGAAAAAATTTTCTGGCTACGGGCCTGCTTCAGATTACGTATAGCGAATTGAACGACTTCCTCGTGCAGCATCAAGGCTTTTCTCTGTAGGCTGGGTGACGTACCGCGAAAAGAACTTGAGAATCTGCCATTCTATAATGCACGTTTTTTTTTTTCGATTCCCACAGGGACATAACCATTTATGGCCGGCAGTTGTCGATCCTCATAGAAGCAGCACACGATTATCGCACGTGAAAAAAGGAAAAGCAGCAAGTGGCAAACGGCACTGTGTCTGCGCGTTTTACACGTTAACTCTAAAGGGAAAAAACCGACAGAAAGTAGGCACATGATGAATGAGCAACGCAAATATATCTACTGATGTGTCAAATCTTTTCAACTGCGTGATCTCATCCTTCGTGGCATTCAAAATTATATCGCATTCAAGACTGGAAAACGTAAAATACGCATATGTAGTGATGATCCTCTGAATAAGCTGTATTACTGAAAGTTAGCGCTGTGTATGTGTCCTATGTGTGTATTTCGCTTTGTCCCGTCCTTTGTACGCCATGAATCACCAACGGGCCGGCCATGCGATCTTACACTAATCCTGTGTCATGATTGAAGCCCGCGTTTCCGTATACTTTAGTAACTGTTCAGGGTATAATTTAGCATATGCACTAACAAAAAAACATAGTTGATCCCTCCGTAGTACGAACCGGTATAATGCGAAAGTAAAACGCGTCCTTGAACGTTGAATACATTAATAGAAGAGAACCTGCACAATATACATCGGCGTTTGGGAGCTATATCACCGTTTAATGTGGATGCACCGACGTTAGCGCTCGGTGGTTCATCTCCATCCAGGTGATTAACGTTCATGATAAATGGTGATACAAACCTTTAGTTAATTAGTTAACGGCGAGAGCGTAATTGGAGGAAGCGATGTGTGACGTCTCCAAAAGAGCGTCTCTGGTTCGACGCACAACTTGGCTTTACGTCACTATCTCATGGCTTGTTATATATAAAGTTATTGTACACCACGGCCGGGATAGAGGAAAATGCAACGCACGCCACTTTTTTTTTTTCTGTAGCCGGGCTAATGGTAGCTGATAACTGTAATAGCGGCTAAAATTCTAATGGTGGCAAAAAATTCTACAGAATATTCTGTAGCCCGGCCACTTATCAATTTTATTTTGCGGGCACTCGTTCTGGGTGCACAAGTTCGCACGACTGCTACTGAGAGTGAAGGGTGGGTTTTCATTCAACTCCGGTCTGTTTAAACAACGTTAAATTTTGCGAATAAGGAAGGAATGAAAGGGGGGAAAAAACTATTTTTGTCCTGCGGAACGCGACTGGGTCGCGCACAGGTGCGAAACGCGACTGGGGCTTAGTCCTACGTAGGGACCGGCAAGCAGAGCCTGCCGGCCACCTCACGGGCCCGCTGAACAGCCGTGAGCTGATCAGTAAGAGCGGGGCTGCGTAAGCATCTCCCACTCCTCCAGGGTGAAGATTGAGTCCATTGCTTGGCACGCGCTGAGTATATGTTCTATTGTTGCTAATCGTAAAAGTGATCGCGCTTCGCGTCCAAAGCAGTGTAAACTCTCGTTAACTGGCTTGGCGAGACGTTCGTGCCCCCACGTAATTTCAACGCCACCCAGCGCAGTGAGTTATGTCCCCGACTCGGCGTACTGAGCCGGGGGCATGATGCCGACCATGATAGCTGTAGAGATATAGACTTTATGTTAAATGCAAACATTTCTTAACCTCCTGATAATACTCGCAGCCGTCTATAGGGCCATTACTTGAAGAAAATACGACTATAGAGCAGTGCTACGACAGTGAAGACGGTGCTGACAAAACGTGTATCCCTCCATTTGCTTCGCAGAAGGCCATTCGCAGTGTCGCAAACGTGGCGCACAAGGCGAATACAGATCATGCCTGACGAACTATATACTCGTGAAGCTGACCACGCGAGTGAACTCGCGCTGGACTGCCGCAACGCAATCAGGATTCGCAGCGCACATCTCGCGTGTGTCAAGCCCTTCTTCTGTGCTCGTCTTGCGTGTATTTACCCACGCGGGTCACATCACACAATAAAGTCCTGACCTTAGTTCGCAGTGACATTCTGCGCAGCAAAGCGGAAGGAGAAGGCGCATCGCCGGGCGCCTTGTGACAAAGCACAGCACTCACCTTGCCGTAGAAGCTTAGCAGCTGGTTGAAAAGCCACGTCTGCACGTCTGTGCTGCGAACAGCGATTTCTGAGCGCACGAATCCCGGGTGACAGCAGTTTACGGTGACACCTGCGTCATAGTTTGCATACGACCGATGAATATAGCAAAAAAAAGAAGAGGAAGAACGCTTGAAGCGAGCCATGCGTTCGACGTCATATAAGTGATCAAAGACGACTACTTGGCGACCACTGAGATCAGCTAACGTTAAGTTCAGGGCCACTTAAAATCACATTTCGTGTGGGAGTAGAAGGGTAACCAGTTGTTTGCACTTGCGCAACGATAAGAACAGAAACACTAGTATTAGAAACACCAGATTGATTGATTGATTGATTGATTGATTGATTGATTGATTGATACGTGGAGTTTAACTCCCAAAACCAACACATGATTATGAGAAAAGCCGCAGTGGAGGGCTCCGGAAATTTTGACCACCTGGGGTTCTTTTAAAGTGCACCCAAATCTGAGCACACGGACCTACAGCATTTTCGCCTCTACCGAAAATGCAGCCGCCGCAGCCGGGATTCGATCCCGCGACCTGCGGGTCAGCAGCCGAGTACCTTAGCCACTAGACTATTCAGTCGCATTCATTGCTTCGGCCTTGTGCCAAAACTGTGACTGTGCTTTGGGGGCAACTTTAACATGAAAGCGTTATGTGGCCAGTTTGCGAAAGCGCGCACTCGTCCGGCAGTCCGCAGGCGTCATGCATAAAAAAAACACGTGACTTGTCCCACCGGCACTGACGCCGGCGACATCTATATACAGAGAACACGGTTTAGCCGCGCCTTACAAGCGTTTCATCAACCTGGAAGGAGAGCATTTGACGTTGCAATATGTTATGCTAGCGTGCGCAGAGATCCTCTGCAATATTTTTCTCGCGATTTTGCTTCGAAGTATTCCAAAAAATAGCCTAGATATATTCGTAAATTATTCGGTTTGATTCACGCTCAAACTTCATTATTCGAATATGCTTCGAAACCAAAAATTTTGCTCACAGCTCTGTTCTCACTAGATACTATACAGGGCCATGGGGTGTCTAGTGCCATATTATTAAAGAATAAATGTAAAGGAGAGACGTTACCAGTGCCCTCGAGCTTCTTGCTTAGCTCGACCGTGAAGAGCATGTTGCACTGCTTGGTGGTGCAGTAGTTGAGCAGTGGGAACCAGTAGGGCCCGAAGCTGAGGTCATCCGTGTTCAGCCGACCCACAAGCTGGCCACACGAGCCGACCACCACGATGCGGCTTGGCCGACTCTTCTTGAGAAGGTCTGCACATTCAAATAGATGAATTGTTTGAGGAAGCCACTATAACCGTCATGCCGTTCCATTAGCCTTTAAATGCACTCGAGTCGGCTGGAACATATTGAGAGCAGGGCAAGTTCATTACTAGAGTATGGTCTTGCACACAAAAACACACAATCATGATGATGGTGATGATGATACCTTCTTTCTGATGGCACTCGCCAACAAAAGGGGATGAGCTCAGAATCGGGTGGCAGGATACTTTAGTTAAACACCTATGAAGCTGAAAGAACAAACACGGTAGCTTTAAACTAAAAGAAAACATTGCTCGTAAATGAAAATCATAGAGCAAACAGTCAGCATATCAGATGGGATAAAAATGTCCTTGCTCTGTGTGGGTCCAATCATTCGCGTCTTCTGGTGTGCAGCCATTCTCAAGTTGGCTCAGGGACTAAACCTTCCACCTTCGAGGTCACAGGTTTGATTCCTGCCCACGGCAATGGCCAATATTCTGTAGGATTTGAACATGAGCAAGTACGAACGAAGAAACAACGACTATAGGCTCTACTAAAGGCATCCATCTCCGGCGAGCGAGAATCAAACATTTATTGTAGAAAAAAATCACAGCATATCCACGGAGTGAATGATGATGAGTGGGATGAAGCGTTCGTTAGTCTGTCCGTGGGACCACCCGTGCGTCCGCGCGTCCGTGCTCTTTGAAGATGGTTCCCATCACCTTGGTAGCAGCGCAGTTAAAACACAGCTCAATACGAGTCAACGTAACGAGAAATTACTGCAGTGAATACTTACATATTCTGTCCCTGCCTATATAGAAAACACCGTGAACCTTGTTTGCCGTGATTTTTTTAGCAAATGTGTGGCCGACAGGCCGAGCTTCATTAACGAGACTCGTGAAGTAGTGGATAAGAACTGATCTTCCCGGAACTGTATAAGGATTCACTCCATTTCGAAATACTCCAACGAAAAATGATGATTGATATGTGGGGTTTAACGTCCGAAAACCACCATATGATTATGAGAGACGCCGTAGTGGAGGGCTCCGGAAGTTTCGACCACTTGGGGTTCTTTAACGTGCACCCAAATCTGAGCACACGGGCCTACAACATTTCCGGCTCCACCGGAGATACAGCCGCCGCAGCCGCGATTTGATCCCGCGGCCTGCGAGTCAGCAGCCGAGTACCTTAGCCACTAGACCACCGCGGCAGGGCAACGAAAAATGATAGTATATAAGATTATATGAAATTACCCAAGTCTTAAAAAAAAAAGCGCTTAGCTGAGCGCTGACTTCATTTGTCTGTGTTTGTTTCAACCGTGTTTTTTTTTACATGAAATTGTTTTGTGCCGGGGTCCACCACAGCTGCACTGACGTATTTCCGTCACGGATATGACACTATAAAGTATACACTGACAGATGGAACATAAAAACAAGAAAAAAAACTTTACGTTACTGGGTGTCAATCCTACTACCTCTGGCTCCACAGAGCGTGGCGCGAATCGAATTGGACCACCAGTAGTACAGATCTTGTAGTACAATAACCACGAGCCATTTCTTTATATACACATCCATAGACTGTCTTAAATCTACGTCACTATAGTAGTGGTTTTAGCTTACAGACTTTAGATGTTGCCAGATTTTCAACAACTACTCCCCTGAAGAGGTCATTGTACCTCACAACATGCATGCCGTAAGGTTTCCGTAAGGTTCCGTAAGTTTTTCGCACCACCTTATCGCTGCAAAGCTAGCGAGACATAGAAGTACAGGGTTAGAAATAAGAGCTTGAACTGTGCAACCAACATTCAATATGTTCGACGACCAGACACAAAGTTACGTTATCACCGTTGTGGAAAGAAATAAAAAAATACGTTTGGTGTGGTTCAGTGACCTAATGGGCGATTATCGAAAGAACAGAGGTCAAGCTTTTTATCGTTTTCTTTTGCAAACGTGGATCTGTTAAGAAGTGCAGAATTTTCCAACTGCGCTTGATTAGCTTAGCAATATTTGATGTAGATATGTAAATATAGATATCCACTGCAATGATTCGGCGTGCAAGGAGATATTTCCTCCAGTAGGAAACTTGCGGCAATTGCGCAAGTATTTCATATTTGCTCACCCAATAAAAGATGCGTTAGTAGAAAATGCCCAAGGTGATTTGCTTGGAAAGTGGCCTCGAAGCCATCCTCGGTCTCTTCTCGACTCGGAGGAGCTGCGTGCAAAGGAACAAGTTACAACAGTCACTGCATGCTCAAAGAAGTTCGTAGCATGGCGCATAGTAATAATAATAAAAATACCTATCTGGGGTTATACGTGGCAAAGCACCTTATGAGGCGCGCTGGAGTGGAGGGCTCCGGTAATTTACGCCATCTGGTGTTCTTGAATGTGCATTGATATACCACTGTAGGCGCGCCTATGCCAGTTCCCCTTCACCGAAATGCGACCACCAAGGCCGGGATCAAAACCGCGAACTTCGGATCAACAGACGAGCCCCGTGATCGGCGCACCCTGTTACAGCTTACAAGTGCATGCACACCAGCCGAGGCTAATGTCGAATTCCAATGGCAAATCCAGATCAAGTTTTTTCTGCTCCGAGTGGAGCAACCACATTACAATAACAGATTGGGAGCGTGACTTGTGTTCCAATGGCATATTGAGAGCGACCGCAGATCACGGATTGCTCCGTGGAGCAAGAATTCTTGCTCCGCTGAAATCGGTGGATTGGACCGGAAGTTCAAGTGACGTATTCTGTCCGCCCGCCTTTCATCCAATCACCGATGGATGTCCAGAAAACGCTCTGCCCTCTCTCGTGTTCCCTCGCTAGATTTCGGCTCAAGCTTCCGTCGAGACGAGCGCGTTCCAATCGTGACTTGTGTGTTCCAATCGCAGATTGAGAGCGACCGCAGATCGCGGATCGCTCCGTGGAGCAAGAATTCTCGCTCCGCTGAAATCGGCGGATTTGACCGGATGTTCAAGTGACGTATTCTGTGCGCCCGCCTTTCATCCAATCACCGATGGATGTCCGGAAAACGCTTTGCCCTCTCTCGTACTCTCTCGTGCTCCCTCTCTAGATTACCGCTCGCTAATAACTCCCATCGAGGCGAGCGCGTTCCGATCACAGATTCGGGGAGAGCAATCCCGCTCGGATCTGCGCGCTCCATTCACAATCCGGCTCAGCGCTCGCGATCTGCCATTGGAATTCAACACAAGCTGCGCATGTTCCGTGAATACCTGAAAATTGTATTGCGAGAGCAATTATGTGGAGAGTCTGGGACTCGTTCGCTGAATTTCGTGCCGACCGGTTGTGCCCTCGCGATCTCCGACGTCCGCACGGCCTCTGGCCGACTGGGTTCCCCCTACGCCACCCCCTGACGCCGATATCCGACGACAGCGCAGCTCTGGCCGACTGGACTCGCCCTACGCCATCTCCTGACGCCGACAAGAGCTCTCATCGAGTGGTGCCACGTCCTCGGACTCCCGCGGCCAGGTCCGTCTTTCCTATCTTCTCTTTACTTTCGTCACTCGCTGTCCCTGCACCTCGCTCACTCCTTCCTATCTCTCTATATATACCTTTTAATCCTATCCGTTTAATTCCTCCTTACACCCATCCCTCGTGAGCTACTGTTGAGGTATCGCACCTGATGCAGACAGTTATGGGGCTTTTTTTTCCTTCTTTCCCCTTTAAGAACCACATAAGAACGGACAGTCTCGACGGGTTTGTGTTATCGCTGTCAAAGTCATGTCCCGTATAAACCATCATGTCCCGTATAAACTTCATATTAATAAATCCCCTTGCGCATTGTACGTTCTATCCGTGGTATAGAGCACCAGAGTAGAGGCGACGAACGACGCTGAAGGAGGGACGAAACGAGCCGGCCCTGTTCCGTCACTCGGGGGGACCACGCAATAAGATCGCCCACTATTTAATCCGGCCGTCAAACGCTCAAGCAAAGAAGAAACACCCCACTCATGTTTAACGAGCACGGAGAACGCCAGGGCAGGAGGAAGGGGGGCTTGCTCGAGAAGCAACTGTGAACTTTCATTTTACAGGCGCGGTCACCATGTGCTCTAGTGTCACGACAGCCATCAGCGGGTCGGCTTGTTCGCCTTTGTACGTGCTGAACTTTCAACGCCAAGAGACCGTGTGAAAAGTGTCCCTGAAGCAGTCGTTTTCTCTTAAACCGGCGCTTTGCAGATCAAATTCATAACGTAGCGTAACAAAGGACAAGGCGGGCACAAAGAACGACACATCACAATCGACACACATCGCGACATGGCTTGCTGCATTGAGTCGAGTATGTTTTTTTATTATTATTGTCAAACGGTTACTCGTGTCCCACCATAAACGGCCACCCGTGTGCACCCTTCGTAATTTTCGCTGGACCAGATGGCAGGATCTGTGTGATAACGAAGCGAAGGGTTCCAGCACGCTACAACGCGGCCACAAGAGGAAGACACACGCACAAGGGAAAAGCTGTACTTACAACTGAGGTTTAATAAAAAAAAAAGGTATTACCAAGAACATTACCACGCGTGCGTAAAAAACCAACATCAACTACGATGTTGACGTGCAATCTAACACACTCCCCATGCCTCCCCATTTCTTCCCTCCTTTCTAATATAATTTTAACCAGGCCTAAACACGTGCACTGCATGAGAAGCACGGACTGCTGGGCGAGTTGGTACGTCATCTTAACGGTACACGAAATAGTGCGCTGTGTTTAGCTTTTTTCCTTCTGTGCCATCGTTTTTTCGCGCACCACCGTTAAGATACGAAAGTGCAGTGCGTGTTGAAATTGTAGTTTCTCCAAATGTCACTTAAACTCTTTATCAGTGATATGACTCATCAGCTGTATCAACATTCCTCTATTTGCTGACGACAGTGTTATTTTTTGAGAAATTACTAACGATAATATTAGTATTATTACTGTAATGCTAGTATTAGATAATGATATAAATTACTAACGGTAATTACATTAACATACCTCAGTCTGACCTTAATCCTATATTTAGCTGGTGCGAAAAATGGCTAACAGACCTAAACACTAAAGAGTGCGAAATAATGCGTGTAACGAGAACACCCACTACCTCACCTCTTTATTACGTTAATAACATTCCTCTGGACTGTTAACTCTTACAAGTATCTTGGAGTTCACATAATGCTTAATCTCAGCTAATCTCCTCATATTGCATACATTATTAACAACGCTAACCACATTCTTGGCTATTTACGACGTATACATTTTAATTCTTCATGTGGCTTAGAACTGTAGCTTTATATAACACTAATACGTACTAAACTAGAATATGCTACAGCCTTGTAGGACGCCACCTGTGCTAATCTAATAACTTCCCTTGAACTTATCTAGAATAACTCCGTTTGTTTTATATTGTCTAATTATACTAGAACCGCGAGCATTTCAACCATGAAAACTTCCTTAGTGCTCCCGTCTTTAACATCTCGTAGAAAATTCTCCCGCTTAACACGATTTCACAAGGTGTACCATCATCCCTTCCTATTTAGCAACTACTTCTTCGCTCTCAGCACATATCCCACTGTATTGATTCCCATCACAAAGTAGGCATGCCTTCATGCAACAGAAAAACTTTCTTCAATTTATTTTGCCTCCTACATCGAAGGAGTGGAACTGACTTCCCGGTGACATCGGTGCTATTAGTGATAACTACATGCTTCGTGATGCATTATGTATAAATACGTTTTTTGTTGCATTAGCTAACATTGTATAATGAGGGTCTGTGTCGTATTACCCATCATGTATTGATATATAAATGTATAAGCTAACATCGTACTAAAGGGATTTATTTGTATGATCTAACCATATTCACTGCCTTTTGTGCTGTGAGTTTTTTTTTTATTTGTGGCAATAAGCTACTTCTCTCGTTAATGCCATTTGGCCCTTAGGGTCAAATAAATAAATAAATAAATAAATAAATAAATAAATAAATAAATATGCAGCGATGGTTCACGGACACACAATAATGATCAATCAATCATTAATTTAGCATGTCCTGGAAAAACCATGAGGTCTTAGTACAGGCACACCCAAAAATCAAACAATACAAATAAACAATACAATACAGCTACTCTTAGGAAAAATCAAACAAATAGAGTGAAAACACACACAAAAAATTAGGGCAAAATGGGAAGAATGAAAACAAGACAAGAATCATGAAGAAAAAAGAGAAAAAAAAGGGAATATACACAACCATAGAAACCTTTATGAAAGACGGAAAATAGAAAAAACTGAACATTGTGAAAGCCATGTTAAGACAGTGCAGAGCTTAGATAAAAACAATAACATTAGACTGTTAAAACAGCAAGATCATGAAAGTTAACATTACAGATACGTTGTATTCTGTGAACAGTAGAGTGTTGGGAAATGTTGGCGGGTACATGAAATGGTCGATTATCCCTGCTTAACTTGCGCGGAATCCGAAAATTTACACAAGTGAGAAGTAAAGAGCAGGATATGAACACCATGAACTGATTTGTGAAGAAATAACAGGCCAGCGCGATTTCGTCGGTAGTGAAGCGGTGGCAATGATAATAATCTGGCAGCGTTGGAACGGTATCCAGAGTCATTTTTAGCGAAACGATGATTGTTAACGCTTATGAATTTTTTCTGGAATCTCTCATTGGCATCACTGCCAGATTTACCAATGCTTCCAGATCATACAACAACAACAACAACAACAACAACAACAACAACAACAACAACAACAACAACAACAACAACAACAACAACAACAACAACAACAACAACAACAATAATAATAATAATAATAATAATAATAATAATAATAATAATGCTTGGGGTATAACGTCCCAGAACCACGATATGATTATGAGAAACGGCGTAGTGGAGGGCTTCGGAAATTTCGACCATCTGGTGCACTTTGACGTGCTCTGACGTCGCACGTGTGCACGAGCCTCTACCATTATGGCCCTTTCGAAAGGCGACTGCCATGATCGAACCCGCCACCTTAGGCTCATCAGCCTGTTCGAACAGCATAACCGCCACAACACCACGGCGCTCATGGACGCATAATGTAGCGCCCAACTTCCTGACGCGGAAGGCGTCTGTCCAAACTGCGAAATGTGATGCTTCCCACTCACACATCATGCCGGCATTGAGGATGAGGACATCGAGGCGCGGTTCGTTGGCCACCACCTGAGCGGCGAACTGGCGCACCGAGAGCAGTGAGCACAGGTCGAGCTGCATCAGCGCCACGCTGCGTCCCGTCGACGCACAGATGTCAGCCGCGGCCTCCCTGGCTTTGACCAGGTTGCGGCAAGCCAGGATGACGCGCGCGTTGCGCCGTGCGAGCTCCCGAGCCGTCTCCTTGCCGATGCCTGCGCGCGTCCGTCTCAATTATGCTCCGTCGAATGACTGCTGTACACAAACAAATTAACAAGCATTCCGCGCTACGCAGTGCTGCGTGTAACACCGCCTGTGCACGACACTTTGTGTATAATGAACACACACCTGTGTTTCGGCATTACGTTCTTCGTAACACGGAGTACATGTTAGTTTGTCGTGAATATAGTGAGTAAAATATCACCCAGTGAATAAGTTACCTATAGCAAAAATGACCGATGCGTCTTTTATAAAGGAGGCGTTGGCTACACTAGTTCGTTTCTGGGGCTCGCTCTGACTTCTTCGCAGCAGGAGCGATACTATTTTACATTGATTGAGTTTCACATTGATTGAGCTTCATAAATAATATTAGGGGCGTCATATAGTGCAAGTCGTACGTCGAAAATCGGGGGAATCTCAAGCATTGTAATAAGTTGAAAGCGATAAGGATACCCCCCCCCCCCCACACACACACACACACGCGCGCGCACGCGCGCGCGCGCGCGCGCGAACGTGACACTATATCACTTTCCTAATCGCCAGCCTGCCTTAGATTATCGCTTTTCGGTGGAGACCTAAAGCGTACCGTGCCGTAAGAAAGCCAAAGTTAAAACACCCTCCAGCTTCTACCTTTATCTCATCTATCTCGAATTGTCGCTAACGTTCAACACTGCTCTTACGCTCGCAGCTAAAGACGCCACCAGTATACTGACACCGGAATTTCCGCGAAAGGAGCTCGTTAACGCTACCGCATTAAAAGGGAACGTCGTAGATCTGCGGTGGTTGGGTGGTACGTTATCGTTTTCCAGAGCAAAGCGCCTTCATTTATTTCACAGCATGTAACGGAGATTCACCTATAGTTGCAACTGATCGAGCATCCGTACTGTTGTCATAATAACTATGGCATCTAAGCAGTTTTACATCCCAAATCCAAGACATCATTACGAGGGATGCCATTGAGGAGGACTCCAGAAGTTTTGACCATCTGGTGTTCTTTTACGTGCACTGACATTGAACAGTACACGGACCTTTAACACTTCGTCCCGATCGTAATGTGGCTGCCGCAGCCGGGATCGAAACCTCGACCTGCTGGTCTGGAGCCGAGCACCCAATGCCACTGATCCATGACCGAGGCGAACGAAATATAGAGTTTTTATTATGCCCTATGGGAGCACCTTACACGTGTTGTACATTTGCTGAAGGAACCTCGCGTCAGTCCATTTCTTATCATGACTTTTGGTCAGTTCACCTTTGGAGCACGCTTTTCTGACAGAGGACGTGAAATGGTCCGCATAATGTAGTGTTATTATCATGCATGTCTACATATTCACTGACTTACTAAAAAAACGAGCAGCTTTTTCGTTAAGAAAGATAGGCGCGCCCCGCCGCGGTGGTCTAGTGGCTAAGGTACTCGGCTGCTGACCCGCAGGTCGCGGGTTCAAATCCCGGCTGCGGCGCCTGCATTTCCGATGGAGGCGGAAATGTTGTAGGCCCGTGTACTCAGATTTGGGTGCACGTTAAAGAACCCCAGGTGGTCGAAATTTCCGGAGCCCTCCACTACGGCGTCTCTCATAATCATATGGTGGTTTTGGGACGTTAAACCCCACATATCAATCAATCAAGATAGGCGCAAGCGAAGCTTGGCGTGTGCGTGTTGGACGTATTACTGCCTTTGTTTCTTTTTATTTTATTCTCTCTATCCCTTGCATCAGCGAAACTGATTTGATTTGTTGCGGACTTCGGGTGACGGCCCACCCATACGCTGTTTTTGTCGCGCCTAACGCCACGTTTCGGTGTCGGAATGTGAGGTCATGTGTTCATGTCAAAGTGACGATAAAACGTGGGAACATGAAACAGCCGTGCGGCATCGAAAAAAAAAATCCGACTGGCATATCAGAAACGGCTTTCATTGTTTGGGTTCGTCTCAAAGCCACAACACAGTTACGAGGGACGCCGCAGTGAAAGGCCCCGCGAATTTCGTCCACCTGGGATTCTTAGACGTGCACCGTCTGACTCCAGGTGCGCGTTCCTCAAGCATTTTCTACTCTATCGAAAATGCAGGTTGCATTCGGTGTCTCATCCCACAAGTAAGCATTCGAGCCCCACAATCACCAGACCACTTGGCGGATCACCACAAATGGCTGATCGCTGATCAGTCCACTATTTAGATAGCATTATTAATTTTAAAAAAACGGCGTACATGTACAAATGAGCACGTTGTTTGTTGCCCGTGTATCTATGAAAGCTAGATTTCTGAGCCCGGACGGCAACGGGTTTTTGGCATAAATGCGACAACACTGCCAGCGAACCCGTAACACGTAAAAAGCTTCGCTTGAATATGTACGGCTGTTTAAGGCGAGATTATCCGGTGAGAAAGCTGAGTCAGCCGTGTTTCCGGGGTGTCAGCATTCATTCATCGTCGTCATCGTTTGCAGCCTGTTCAGTGCATGAGCAAGGCCTTTTCCCAGTGATTTGTGCGAGGTGCCGAACACGTTGCCGTCTTTGGCAATGTCCTCTCCTTTGTTCTATAACTGACCGACATCGCTTCACATTTTGTGGCCTTTTTTTTTCTTCTATAAGGTACCGGCTACCCCTGATGCAAGTTGTTTGAAGCCCAGCTCCCTCTACTGCAGCGTCCCTCGTATTCGCATCCTGGTTTGGGGGCGTAAAACTCTGGGTATTAATAGAATCATCCTCCTGTCTTACGACCGCCATTTTCCGTTCCAGATTGCGCAGCTCCGTTGTTTCGCAGGAAGGCCTTTTGTGAGCATTGCGGTACGCGGCAGACGCACGAGCGAGGTCGCGCGGCTTTATTTTATATTTGGTGGGCTTAGTGTCGAAAGCAAAACTTACCATTTGGCACCTACGTGGCTACAAAAAAATAAATCAGTCATTTTGGAATGCCTTCTGCTACAAAGTAAAAAACAGCACCTAGCCCTAACGTGAATATTGAAATTCGGCATAGTTGATCTTCGTTAATCAACTTATTAAGCACATTGTAAAAATATTATGACGAGTGCTTCATGAACGCCAAACATATGTCGCTGGTTTCATTCTGATGTGGTAAATCACTGCTTTTTTTTCTGTCTGTGTTTTAAAAACAATATTTGGCTCTAGACACGCGAGACATCATTGCACAGACTTTGAAGGGTGGTTGTTAATCGCCAATTGTAGGGCTGTTAATGGTTACCTTAGAATATTTAGGATTTTGGGGCTAATTGTTTCTTTGTCACAATTGAAGCCCTCTTGAAATACGACAGGAGTGTACGTCCTATCGTGTTTCAAGCGCTGTGGTCTCATCAGCGTATTTATTTTTAGCCTCAACAGTTTTTGGTTGAACGCCCAATTCATTATTTTTTTTCTGCAAATCGCCACTATTATTGCGGAATGACATGCTTTGGCCGCAAATACACACACAAAGTAAAGGAACACTCAACGACAACACAAGCTTATGCTTGTCGTTGAGTGTTCCTTCACTTTGTGTGTGTGTGTGTTCTTTGCGGTCAATGCATGTCATTAAGCAAGTACCAACTAGGCCAACGATCAATATTGTTACAGTATATACTGCTGAATAGCACTATGTCATCTGCAAATGTTAGGTTACCGAAATGTTCACATTATTATTTACTGCTTTTTCCATTACCGCTCATTTGTCGTTCTTCTGCGAATACGCACCAGTGTTGGCTCCAGTTATGATGACCGTTTTCCCTGTCATGTCTACATTGGACGAGCACTTGCCGATGGTCAACACCGTGTACAGTTTGACGAGCAGCGACAGCACCACCACGCCGGTCACAATACCCAGCACAGCCCACAGCGGCAGTAGTGCATCTCGCTGACCTGCAACCACGTCTTCCACTGGACCAGCCATGAGCCTGCACACACACACACACAAAAAGAAGGCGCTTTCACAGTGTACCACGACAAGGGACTGATGACTCAGCAGGGCGCGCACATCAACACCATCATCCGGAGCAGAATTGTGCGCGTTTGGTTGACAAATCTATAGAGTATAGGCGTCCACCAACCAACATTTGTGTGCGATGCACTTTAAGGGTTAATTCTGTCGGCGTCTCTATTGTAGCAGTGTGTCATGTAGTCACGGTACATCATAAAAGCGTTTGTGCGTACGCCACCATAGGCATGCGCAGGTTTCCCCTTCAGGGAAGGAGGGGGGAAGGTTCGTCGTGGCGCTCCCTCTATATTAAGTCAATCATTGGGGCTAACTTCGCCCCCCCTCTCTTTTTTTAGGTGACTAGAAAAGAGACGTGTCCCCCCCCCCCCCCCCGGCATGCGCACCTATGGACACCACAATGGTTGAACCCCCCTATTCACTACCGGTCCACCCAAATTCAAGAAATCTTCCCCTGCATGTTTGGTCAGTTTACGTCTCAATATCCAAGCTTTCAAATCCGTAATTGAAAACAAGTGGGAATAAACAGGCCCCTGTGAAATAGAAGTCAGGTAGTACGGCCAAAACTTCAATGTCGACGGGCGTAGACAGAAGTTAGGTACAAAAAAAAAACGCAGCACAGACACAGCGAAAGCTGGAGAAACAACCTCGCTAGAACCCACTGAAAACACTCTAGAAGCGACTACTGCAGGTACATTTGAAATGTACCCACCAAGCCACAAATCATGGGAATTTTTTCGTGAAGTAGCCAAGCATCCACTATGCCATCATTCAACATTAGTCAACGAAGCGAGGTAGCCACTTCATGTTCGGAAGGCATTGTGTGGACTTTGTTGATGCTGTGGCTGAAAATGTATTATGACTGAGCCCTTTGCAATGGGTCGGAAGCTTTGAACCATGAACTACTTGAGACATTCGTGTCGTGTTACGCCTTATTTTACTCTTTCGCGACGCTATGTAACAAATCTCAACACGATTCTACGCCAGACATGGCTCCTGTATAGGGCCTTCTCTCAAAGGAGCTACAAGCATCAGTGTGGCTCCGTGGTAGAATACTCGACGGCCACGCTGAGGGCCCGGGTCGAAAGCCCGCTCGATCTTGGATAAATTTTTCTAATTGCTTACGATAGCGCTTATGGACACCGGTGGCATAAACCCACATCACCGAAATCAGTTGCTGCTGCGATCTTAGGGAAGCTTTTGCTATAGCACAAATCAAGGCTGTGGTTTCCCCCTTCACCGTCATTGTCGACGCTTACGGCGGGGATACCAACAGCGTGTTTTCTTACGCGCGTACGCAGGGCGGATCGAATGCAACTGTTTTTTTATCTTTTACTTTTTTTCTTACCTTTCTCTCTTATTCCCCCTACGCTATCCCCTGTTCCTACCTGTTGAGGTGTCATCGTAATGATAGACAGTTGCGCGTGGCACTTTTCTCTTCGGTTCCTTTACATAGCCACACATAGTAGTATGCCAACAGCATTTCGTGCTGTGCCCACGCCTAGTTTTACTCGCCTCACGGCAAGCAGTGTTGGGTGACCTCCTGTGGATTAGTAACCCTTCCGGGAAACCAGTCTGAACGTCGGCAAGATCTCCTCTTCTTGACTTGCTTTTGTTTCCGTTGTGCGTCCTGTTTTTTTTTTTCTTTTCCTTTTGTGTGAGGTCTGCACCAAGAGCGGTTTCCCTCCCAAAGAGTCGCTCATCTGTCACTACGCGGAGCGGGCGAAAACAAAAATGCTAATCTTCTGCTGTAGCATTCCCTTCATACTTTTGAACAACATGACTGATGGTAATCGGGAGCGACTGAAATATTGTCATGTGTCAGGATAAATTCGAAAGTTTCTTCCTTCGTTTGACACAACCTTACTGAAAACCAGCGAATCTGTTCGTTTTGATTAAATCATTTTCATGTATCAACAAAATTTAGCATGCTTGATAACAAAGTCTTCATCATAAGCGCTGAAGCGTTTAATAAAGCGCTTTTGATGGACAGTGCTGATTTCGCTCACCGAATAAAGTAGAAGAAAAAAACTGACAGTTCGTCCTTGTTGGCGAGCTATGGTCACGTTAATCTAGGCAGACTAGCCCAAATCAAAATTTGTATGTACTTTGTTAACCTATCTTATAGTTGCATATGTCATGACATCTTTTTCATTCCAGCGTGCCTCCAATATTTGTGGCCAGCGTAACTTGACTGCAAAGTTCCTTATGCAGCTGTCATTACGTTCTTCTTTTGTATATTCTTTTCGCGATTCAAACTACGCCTGAAAAACGCCATGCCCGGTGAAACACGTAGCTCGGTCACAGCGTGAGCTGGAAAGAAGCGGACGTAATAGAGGTCGTTGTAAACTCTCTTATACTAGAGTACACTGTATATGTAGCATATCCCGTAACTCAACTTTATATAGAACCTGCCAAAAGTAAAGTGGCGAAATGTCCACCGCGCAATGGGTCTGCCATTGCTCCCGGCTTTCCGCGGTAATTGTGAAAAGTAAACTGCTCTTTCAGAGAGGCATCAGGCACCCTTTGAGAGCCATAATTGTGAAAATACGTGTGTAAGCACAACCCTGCGCATTAAAAGGCGACATGAAAGGCTTGGGCGTAGCCGAGGAAAGTTAATCCGTCCCCGCCCCGAACATTTTTATTTCGCTTGCGTATATGCATGATTGATTGATATGTGGGGTTTTCCGTCCCAAAACCACTATATCATTATGAGAGACGCTGTAGTGGAGGGCTCCGGAAATTTCAACCACCTGGTGTTCTTTAACGTGCACCCAAATCTGGACACACGGGCCTACATTTCCGCCTACATTGGAAATGCAGCCGCCACAGCCGGGATTCGATCCCGCGACCTGCGGGTCCTTGCGTATATACATATAGACGCACACATACAAACGCACGCGAAAACACACATAAAATATGGTTTAACCTTCCCCCCTTCTCGAAAAAAAATTTCAGGCTACGCCCCTGGTTAGAGGTATGACAGTACAGGTGCTGAAACAAAATTGGAATTCCCTCCCCCCAATTTTTTCTTAGATGATTCGGTTGGGGGGGAAGGGGAGTCTTGAGGCATCAAGGTTTAAAATATTTTTTTGATTTATTCTCTTTGAAAGGCGCCTCCTCGTGTGCACCTATGCACGATATGGCCGAGACACACCTAGTAGAAGGCTCCTGGAATTTCGACCATTTGGCGCTGACTAACGTACAGATAACATCAGAGTTGCCATTCAGTGAATTCGAAATATAGCCGGAATACTATCTAAAAGTAGCCGAGGTAGCCACAAAATTTAATTTTTGTCGCCAGATTTGTAGTCAAATACAAGAGAAACAGAACATCGACAACTTTAAAGGTTAGAGGACGATTATAGCTTAATGTTCGTTTTCTATAAGCTGTTTACAAAGGTAATAGCTAATAGAATTAAAACCACCTCACAACTCAGTAAACCGAAGGACGTGCCAAGTAGGAGTTCGTACAGGCTGCGCAGAAATAGGCCATATTCTCACTTTAAATCAGGTGACGAGAAGTGCGCCGAATGTAACAAACCCCTGCGTATAGCTTTTATAGATTGCAAGAGGATTTCCTTCGGTCGAAATTGCAGCAGTCACGCACTCATTGTGAAACCAGAATGTCGATCAACCATATGTATAAAAGTACCGGAAGTAATCCTAAGTGGTTCCACAGCCATCATAGTCCTCGAAGAGAAAGCGAAAAAAATTTCAACAAAGGGTGTAAAAGGATGAGAGTCTGGAAGACATGATCACTGGGGAGATCGCTTCTACGGAGCGGCGACCTGAAGGTTTTACAAGAAGTTTAACTTGTATTGAGGACGACGCGGTGAGTCATGGAAATGGAAATGTGTGACCTCAAGGGACAACAAGAGAGCAGGGTGAGTCAGGGAACAAACTAGTGTTAAAAAAACATTGCATCCAAGTTTCACCCACATAGCTTTACGTGGCAACGCGTTCCCTGTGTCGTCCTGAGACGAATTCAAAAGGAATTTTGGAGACTGACGCTCGCAAACGTAAGTTCATCATCATCAGCCTGACTACGTCCACTGCAGGACAAAGGCCTCTCCTATGTTCCGCCAGTTAACCCGGTCCTGTGCTTGCTGCTGCCAATTTATACCCGCAAACTTCTTAATCTCATCTGCCCACCTAACCTTCTGTCTCCCCCTAACCCGCTTCCCTTCTCTGGGAATCCAGTTAGTTACCTAACGTTTGTAACTTACGAACGTAAGTTACAAGACTTCTAAACTCAAAATGAAAGCAGATGACACAGTCCGGTATTTTATTAACACTGTATAGTGTCAGTGTTGTTTTGCCTGCTTCCGATCGAAATGCGACTTACATTTCGCTATATACTATAGTGAACTAGATAGCTGTACCGGAATGCGACAACACATGGTGGCCTTCTTGCTGCAAGCGGTCGCCGCACTTTCTGGCAGTTTCAGTGTCGCACGCTGTAGCACATGAATCGGTCGACGAACGAGAAGTCGAAACGCGTCAGAAACGAGGAGTTGATCCGACTCGGCGGCCTTCGAACGCGAGATCCCGCTAAGAGGCGGCACGCGATGCGCCTATACGCGTGGTTACGCGCGAAGGCACGCCGCTATAAGGGTTTCGGGCACGCCACCGAGACCGACGTCACACGAAGACGACGGCGAACAGGGCCATGAAGGAACATCAAATGAAACAAATAATGACACTTGCACACACTGGTGTTATTTGAGCCGTAGAGTTTCTCGCAATAGAGAGTTTTAGTACTGCGTACGCTGCGTACGTGGCGGCGTTGCGTACGTAAGGACGCCACGTTCTGCGTAGTACGCATGCGCAGACCGCAACGCGCACGCATCGCGTTACGTACGCAGCCGCTACGTACGCACGCATGAGATGCGTGCGTGCGTACGTATGAGGTGATCGCGCTGCTCTCGAACAAGTTCGCGACAGCGCGAGACTTCGTTT